CATATAGAAAATTTAAAACAAATTTAAAATATGTGAGAAATATTTAAATTCTTTATCCAACTTCAAGGGCACCCAATTAAAATTCAAGGCAAGATCCTGCACTCTTGGTTTGGCATATGAGAAAAGGAAATGGGCAAACTTGGATAATAATGATTGTATCTGTCCATGTTGCAAAAAGGAACCTGAAACACTGGAGCATTTCATATTACATTGTGAATGTTTCTCAGCACAGAGAAAAACTCTAATGGAAGGGATTGAAATGCTCCTATGTAACAAAAATGAAATAAATTTACATAAAGACTTCATAGCAAACAAAGAATTGCTATGTTTAATCCTGGGTGACAGTACAAGGCAGTATAATTCAGTCCTGTGTGACGAAATTGATACTTTTACAAAAAAATTCTTAGTTGATGCCATGGACAGTAGAAATACAGATAATATTTAATATTTTTCCAGTGTACTTCTTATGTTTTAGTTTTCTTATTTTGTTGTTGTTGTTGTTGCTACTTTTAGATGTTTTTTGTTGTTGTTATATTTTGTTATCTTAGTTCATGTAACTTAATTTCTTTTTGTCTATCAAAAGGTTTTTTTTTCATAAGTCTTTGAGTGAAATGTATTTTTTATTTGGTGCAGCTCCTAGTTCACATAGTGAGCCCCTGTTACAAAAGGGAAGCAATAAATAAATAAATAAATAAATAAATAAATAAATAAATAAATAAATAAATAAATAAATAAATAAATAAATAAATAAATAAATAAATAAATATTCAATATGAATTTAGTTTTGCATTTCCAAAAATGAACCCTGTATGAGTCTAATAAATGTCTACAAGTATGAATGAGAATATGTAATTTGCATCTATAGTCACGGTGGATTGCTTTCTAGTTTTTGTTTCTTGTTTTGTTTCAGAATTGTTTCTGTGGCAACAAGAAACTGAAGATTATTACATTCACCATAGTACTGGGAGTTGTCATTTTCTTTAATAAATATGGGTACATCAAGACCAATTTGATGCAAGATTACGAAAAACGGGCCTTATTCATGACCTCACACATACCAGTCAACTCACATGAGAGTACCAACAGCACTGGTCCTCATCCCAGCTACAACGAATCCAATGTTAAGGAAACTGGGATAAATATGGTATGTGAGAATATAGTTAATGGATTCGATGTACCTGCAGAAACTATGAACCAGACAATCAGATTTCTTAGGTCGACACACGTATCTGATCTTGATTTCCTATCGCTCACTGACAATTGTACAAGATTTTCTACTGAACGAGGATACTCTAATAAGCCAGTTACAGATGAAGAAATGAACTTCCCATTGGCTTTTGGTTTATCCATGTATACATCCGCACACCAAGTTGAACAGTTATTACGGACTATTTACAGACCACATAATATCTACTGCATACACGTGGACAATAAATCATCTTCTGTGTTACACAGAGCAATGGAGTCGATAAGTGGATGTTTTGATAATGTATTCATATCATCACGTCTTGAAAAAGTTATTTACGCCTCGGTTTCCCAGATACATGCTGAGATGAACTGTCAGCGAGATGTGTTAAAACGAAACAAAAAATGGAAATATTTTATCTACTTAACGGGACAGGAATTTCCATTAAAAACTAATTTAGAAATAGTGGAAATATTAAAAGAATTTCAAGAACAGAATGACATTAGTATTGAAATGACTGTGCCATGGAAGCGTGTTACATTCAGGTATAGCATCGTTAATGGAAAGATGCACCGTACTAATCAGACTAAAACCGAACCATGTCCCCTTAAGACCCTCAAAAAAGGTACAATTCATACAAGCTTGTCGCGGAAATTCGTTGAGTTTCTGCACACAAGTAACATCGCTGAACGCTTTTTGGTGTGGCTGAATGACACGCTGTCGCCCGATGAACATTTCTTTCAAAGTTTAGCTTATCTCCCAGAAGCACCCGGAGGACCAGGACAGGTACCGATGTCGCAACCTGTCATGGCGTTATCAAGGCGTGCAATGTGGCAGTCTAAATTGCCCTCTCCTCAATGCCATGGACATTATGTTCGCGAATTTTGCATCTTTTCATGGCGTGATCTCGCGTGGCTAGTTAAACAACCACATTTATTCGCCAATAAGTTCAATGTAAAACATGATAGCTTGGTTTTAGACTGTTTGGAAGAAATCATCAAGTATCGTACTATTTACCCAAAACAGCTGAACATTACTGTGTATCAAAAATTCGTCAAAAATCGTTCTTGGAAAGATTTTGAAGACCCTCCTCCTTGGCAAGTAAAATAATATTACATTGGTTATTTCTACAAATTATATAAATTCTGTCATTTGAGCCAAATCCCCAATCGACTGTTGCCAGGCATTTAATGCACAATGTTTTTAGGCAACATAATTTGGGTTCAATAAAAAATCACCACCATACAGTTTTTTTAAAACATTGGACCCTCTGGTAACAGAACGCTTCTCGAGCATTAACGGAGGCTGTACGAACCGTTCATATCGCTTTCATCGCCAGCCATCCGCCAACGAAAATTATGTTTTTGTGATTTTGCTGTATTCTAGATGAACAACAACTACATAACAAGAGTTATTGATTTGAATGTCTTACATACAATTGCATATTTCAAATACTATTCGCATAGGTTGTTGCTCATAATGCATAACTTATCCACTGTAAACTCTGCATAGTTGATATTTGGATACTGTAATATTTGCAATACATCTAACTATATGTTGAAACTAAGCACAACGCTCAATTTATGAATGCTCTTACGCTTGCATCTACCTTGTTGAAGTTTAAAAGGCTTTGGAAGATGCTAGTGAACTATAGTACACGACTAAGACTGAATGTAAAGATTAAAATTAAAATGTTATTAAGCAAGTATTTATAAAATAACGTTACTTCAATATTATTTTAGTGACCCTGAGTTGTTTTTATCAAATTCATGCACTGTGTAGTGTCAAGTAGCAAACACTGTTAGGAAAACAATAAAAAGGTAATAAAAAACGTCTGTTACAATGTATATACAAAAGTATATTACACTGAACCAGTCACATGACATCTCTTGTCGTCTTTGTTCACATAGGAGAAGTAATTCAGATGTGCTCAGAATCCAGGATTTCAGCGATTTTATTTTGGAGAAGGTATGAATTACAGCTTTGTTATTGAGTTGATTTATTTTAGAATGTTCTAAGCATGGCCGTACAGTAAACTTATAGCGACGAATTTGTAATTGAAAGTCGTGGTATGTGGCTTTACAGAAGAAACGAATGGCGTATTGGGTGTATTTGGAATCCACATTAAAATGGCTTATATGAACGCCTCTCACATAAATAATATTCGAGTAGCATAAATGAGAATGTCACTATTAGTGTGATTGGATCTTCAGAAATATCTAAAATCTGAGATTTTATTAAACTCACAAATAATGTATTCAAAACTGTTAATCTGTCACATAACTGCGTACTATGCGTATTTTTCAATTACTACATTAGTCTACTGAAACATACAAGGCGGCAGTCAATGATTAGTGTCTCTAAATATACAAGCGTTCGAATCCTGTGTTTAATATTTATATGTTTGTATGGTGAACTTTTGTCCCCGAGAAAGTTTGAAACTAGGAAGGTCGTTCTGACCATGATTATACTTGACTTGATTTGTGTGTATAATTATATTCTATAAAGCTGTCATTCTTAAAGCTGTCATTTGGGGTGGGGAAACATGACATTACTGTGAGCGAGTCTGCTTACAGTGAGCTGTGAGTTCGGTAGATGAAAACTATTATTGCACAAAACTTGTTAGGAAGTGTACATTCATAATTGGTCACATTCAATTCAAACTCACAAGTTAGTCACAAGTCAAAAACTATGGTGTCACGCATGGCAATCGAAATGGTAATCACACAAACCTTTTAGATGATAATAGATGATAGTATCTTCTTTCCGTGCCAAGTAATTCATGAGCGAAATATGCTTACTGTACAACAGAGTTATTTGACAGTTATTTCAAGTGTTATGAATAACACCGTAAATAGCTTATTAAAGAGCTTTGCACAATAGTTAATTGAAAACATTTACAACATTCAATATAAGTACGACTGACACCTATTTCGGAACATGACCAGTGACCTCCTATGTCACGACTCAATAAGTCGCTTGAACAGCTACCAATTAATTCTATTGTTATTTTAGCCGTAGTTTTTTAAAGAAAATAACTTATGATTTCTTGCGTCGTGTATTTGATTAGTCGGTGTGAGACAAACGGTGCCGTCTTCTTAAACCCCGTCGATGTCATCGGCATTTAAGGCCCATTGTCTCATTAATTACTGGGATACAAAAGGTTTCGGCGCCTGGACTTAGGATGTAAACTCGTATAATTTACAATAACTTGTAAAACTCACTGCAATGTGAAGTAAACATTAGCCACGCTTTTGATAAATGAACCAGGATTCCATGGGTTGTTTGTCAAAATGTTATGGTGTCATTATCATCGTGATGTATTTCAACAAAGAAAGCATACATGTACAAAATAAACATACTAAATGAATTTATAATGTGTTTATGTTATTTATTCATTTACAATGCTTAATTCCATGGGGCTATTCGGTAAAACGCAACGCTCAATAGGTCGTATTTTTTGTTTGGATTCCGACACCCACAACTTAGTTTTGGTTCACTGTATTTAAAAACTGGTATTTCACCAGTCACCAATGTAAAGCACCTCGCTACAATAACAGATACAACAAGTTCATTAATTGTCATATTCTAAAAAGAAATCCATTTCTACAAATATGTCGAATATTTTATCCGTTCTAGCGTAAATAAGCTCTCAGACACAATATGCATGTGTATGGTACTTGGCTACCAATAAACTTATATTATTTTATTACAGACCATCATATTAAAATGAGTTGGCAAATCACTCTCTTCATATATGTTGGGCCAATATTGCTGATGAATTCTGGTACACTGAAAGGATGTCCATCTGAATGCAGTTGTGAAGACAGTGATGGAAAGTTGTATGTCGATTGCAGTCACGGTGGTCTGTCTGAAATTCCTCCAAATATTCCATCTGATACTACGAGATTAGTATTGGAACATAACGATTTGACAAGAATTCCGGAACATGCTTTTATGGATTTGTATGGGCTGGTTTACATAAACCTCGGATGGAACGCAATTAATGATATTTCACCAAATGCTTTTTCTGGCGTAGCCAGCTTAACGGAACTTATATTACATAGCAACGGATTAACATCGTTATCGGAAACTGTTTTTAACGAGTTACCAAACCTCAAGAAACTTAATATATCCTACAATTCGTTAACATCTTTACCAAGTGAAATATTTCACAACTTGACTGATTTAACAACACTTGACTTGTCCTATAACAATCTTCAATCATTGAATTCATCATTATTTGATGAATTAAATAATCTACTTTGGTTGTACCTCCACTACAATGACATAACATTCTTACCATCAACGATATTCCATTCATCGACAAAACTAATATACCTGGACGTTAGGGTTAATGAACTGACATCTTTATCTGCTACTCATTTCATTACATTACCACGTCTAAGATTTCTTAACCTCTCCAATAATAAATTAACTGTTTTGCCACGTGACATATTTCAACCATTGACTGAATTGGTGTGGTTATATCTCATGTCAAACCAATTACATTCTCTAACAGTCCATAATTTACCACAATTGAGCACATTGCATGCGTTCAATAATAGTTTCACTGATTTATCTTTTACACAAGACATACACGAAAACGCACTAAATATATATAGATTGCCAAATCTACATTATTTATTTTTGGACAGCAATCGCATTACAATTATACCTGAAACGATTGTAAATTTCACTGGAATATATAGATTGGGACTCAGATTCAATAAACTTACACAATTACCCCAGCTTCCGTCAGGAATACATTACTTGAACATTGCATATAACAAATTTTCACAGTTACCCGACACTATTCAGAGTTTATCGAATCTCAGTCATCTATACCTTACTGGCAATAAACTAAACCATTTACCAAGTTTTCACAATCTAACAGCACTAGAATTCTTACTACTCGCTGAAAATCCCTGGTCATGTGACTGCCACATGGAGGCTTTCAAGAGATGGATACACAATAACACACAAGTAAATACCCAGCTAATCTGTCAATATCCAATCGAGTATACCGGAACAAACATTGTCAATTTAGCAGTATCAGATCTTCAGTGTGTCCCACCAACATTTAACAACTCATTTGAATG